CCCATCCTCTCACAAACTCCAGCAATCCTCTCCTCTCTCACACACATTCATAAATGTTTCCCTCTCTACAGAATCATTCCCTTTAACATACAAACATGCTGTTATTTCTTCTATACTAAAACAGGAGCAAAACCAAATCAAGAAAAAACCTCCTGACTCCTCTTCCTCTGTCAGCTACTACCCCATTTCTTTTTCCCCTTTGTAACAACCCCCTCAAAAGAGTTGTCTGTACTTCTGTTCTCTCTGAAATTCACTCTGCCAGGTTTTCCAACCCTTCCCATTCCACTGAAACTCCTCATTATAGTCCCTAATTCCCCAAATATTGCTAAATCCTCTTTTGACACAATGGATCATTCTGTCTTCCTTGATATGCAGGTAGTTCTCAATTTGAGTGGTTTGAGATGCACCATATAGTAAAATAACCCAGTCCCCCCCAATAACATTGTTCAAATTCCAGTTATCACAGTTTTTTAACTGTGAGTGACTGCATAAAGTACAAACCTCTCTGTTAGGTCTTTAGTCCACTAATCATGATGTAAATAAACAGAGGCATATCATAGTCGGTGACAATCACATCATTTCTTTCAGAGTCTTGGTGACTGGTCACTGTATGTATGTTTTCCAGTTCACACACAGACAGCTAAGTGTGTAGCTATGTTGCCTCCTTGTCTCTCAGTGATACACTCACATGATATTTTACAAAACTGGATCATTAAAAGAGGCAATTGGCTAACAGAGATGAAACTGCAGCAAAGAAACAAAAAGTGATAAATGCTAGCAGAGAAATTCAAGTCAAACATAAATGGATTTATAGAAGAAATAGCTGGCTGTGGGAATGTTGACACAGCCGCCTTTCGAGAAACTCTAGATAGGCAGCCAGAGGAACTTGGTGAAGGGGGACTTATCAACATAAATGAGGATAAGTGATTGTAATGAAAAGAATGAAGACATCCCAGATGCCCATAAAGCACTTCACATTAAAAGAACTCTCAGAGATATTTCATTCTCATTAAAGGAACTCTAGGAGATATTTTATAACATTGAAAGCAAAGATAATAAAATGTTGGAAGCTGATGAAACTTAAACAGGAATATGACAATTCACCAAAGAAATTCACTCTGTATTATAAGTTATGCAAAGAGAAGAAGGAAGCACTATTCAAACTACTCATGATAAATTTTTAACTAAGAAAACACTTTAAATCTCAATGTTCCCAATGTTTTAAATCACGCTGTGCTAAGTAAAAATTAGTTTTACTATTTTTTCATTTCCTTATACATTTATAACCATCAGAGTTTTTAATGTAGTAACAAAAATTTTTAAAGAGCACAGAAAAAGAATACTAAATTTTCCCATTAACATTTTTTGCATGGTCATTTTTACAGTCCTATGGTATGGTGTAAAGGGAGGAATGCCTGTACTTTCTTCATTTGGCTTCCAGGACACCATATTCACTTGGCTTTCTTTCTCTTTCATTGGTCGTGTTTTTCAGTTTCCTTGCCTGCTAGTGTTGGATGACCCCAGAGCTTAGTCCGTGGAGCTATTATCTTCTTTATTTACACCAACTTAAAGATTTCATCCAGTCTTGTGGCCTAAAATATCATCTATATGCCAACAAATCCCACATTTCCATCTCCAGCCCAGACCTCTTGCCTGAATTCCATATTGACATATCTAATAGCCTATATGCTATCTCTTCTAGGCTATCTACTTGCTATCTTAAACCTAGTATAATATAACCAAAACC